TGAAATTGTGGGCCTCAAACCCGTTGGTCTTTTTCTACGTTCGATAGCTTTAACGATATAGTGACTATGAACAAATCTAGTATAAGTTAAACTGCAAAGATGTATGTCAGAAATTATTACTATTCCCTCTGTTATGTATTTGCATAAATACACTCACTATACAACCTCGTGGGGCAGTAGTTTAACATACATAAGTTAACAGATGGCTCAGTACTCTGATAAGTTTGGCTAACGATTTTTCTGATCGAAAATATTATGATTTAAGCGGTTACAACAATCGAATCGAAGGTTCGATTGACCCTTCGATGCGATTTTAACATAAATGCTCCCAGTAATGCCTTGTGCAGAAAAAACTTCTACACGTGTGTCTCGACTCGGTGTGACACAGAGCGATCAGCCGGTCTAGTCTGACTACATTTCGTCGTTCGATAAAATCGTCTACATTATACGTAAAAAGTCAATAAAGTCAAACAAAGACGACTGCAAAACGCAAATTCGATTGGAGACACTGAGCCGCTCTGTAGCACGATCACCGTTTTAACTATCGGAAACTTTTGACAGTTGCAGACCGTACCTTGCAAGATTGTAGATCTGATTTTAATCAGGTCTATCTTCTGTTCAACGTCTTGGATTCATGATATAAAATTGTTGGCGCGAACATACATGGGTATGTATGGCGTTACACGTAATTTTTATCAATGTTTTCTAGAAGAACGCTTCATCAAATCTGTTCGCTATGCGGTTTTCCCTATAGATCTCATATAAGTCGATACTATATGTCGTAATCAAATAAAGCAGTGACTTTCTTTTTGACCTAAACACGCATGAAGAGCTATTCTCCACTGTAATTCATAATAAAAATTCACTATAAGTTAGTCAGACAACTGAAAATGCAGATGTTAACCGAATAATTAGCTTTATATCGTACGCTTTAATAGGCAACAATCTTAGCATACTGATTTCACGAGTGTCTCACAGATGTATTTAGATAGCATGAAGTTCGTGAAATTCTGCACACACACGTTAAGTATTCTGTGACTGAATGGTCTACACTATTCAGTTAAACTGACAAAAAGTATGATGTTATCTTATGATGAATGAATATTAGGCATCTAGCCAGATCTGTGAGTAAATGACCTTCATTAATTTAAAAATTATAGAATAAATACTATACTATGTACACTACAAAAAACGAAGGTATACGCTGAGAGGTATAAGGGAAACGCTGATTGTCAATTGGGGCGAAGATCTATGTACGCAAGTAGCGTTAATCAGTGGCTCATCCCGCTTCATTACGCAGCTTATAATATTAGTAACTACCGCAAGTAACTGTAAACATCTGATCTTGCCTCGAGACTTCCAGCTTTTAAGCCCTAGTCACAAACAATGTTACAAGTTACTGCAATTCTCAAGAACTTTCACTGTAGATATTGAATCTTTGTGGTTATTGTTACGCATTCGGTTTCGCTGCCTTTCAGAAACGAAGTTTAACCAATCATAATGGACAGTCTACATTGTGATAATATATTATTCCGTTGAAATTGAGCTGTTTGTTTGGTGCAATATAATAATATAATGTAGGATTTTATATTGAGCAACTGCAACGTCAATAAAAATACTTTTTTATCGTACTTACCAATTTAACGAGAAGACCTTTAAATCACTATTAAATTCTTGTGCATTTGCTAATTAAGACCTTATGCCCTCCAGGATATACGTGGTTATAATAGTACTGTGTAACAAACATATTGTAATGAACACTTAATATTTCGTTTGCTTGCAGGCGCACATACTAGGCCAGCCACGAGTATGCCTATCCATATTGTGAAAGGTCTAGGTGCGAGGATTCGACACATTCAAAACAGGTATTTTATAGGTCATTAGAGCTGTTTCCTAAGAGGAACTGCGCGAAAGACAGTGGCAAAAATCAATTGGGCCAATACTTTTATTCCTAGAGGGCAAAGCTTGTTGCCCCTTAGAGAACGTAATTTGGTTGGTCGTAAACCAAAGCCAGCGATTTCTTTCACTTTTTCTATGTTTGAAAACGACGTTTCAGCACTGCTCGGAGGGGCCAAGCCAGCTGACGGCATCGTACACGCTGATATATCATCAAATGTACAAAACTGAAGAAACAAACGTGCGCAACGTGCGTTGCGTGAAAAACTGGGTATAAACTATATTTTGCGAGTGGCTAGGTAGGTTTTGTGTTTATCAAGATTATAGCCTAGTAACTAGCGGTCATTCGACGTCATCTCTCTCTGTTTACATATGATTACCTTTTACCTCTACATAGGTAAAACGAAATGTGTTCAATATTGTAAAAAAGCAAGTGCGTAATAAAGAACGTGAATGGCGCTCTAGTATATCTATAAGACATGTGCCGTGTTCAGATATTTATGCAATTTTTAGCACGAGAGTATAATATACCCTATGGATATGCGGTGAAAACTCGTCGTTGTTTTGTCCATTTGCGTAAGCGAACTGGATGCATTCTGCAGTCGAGGGTGTTTGCCAATCCGGCTAGTAAAGGACAAACAATTAGGTTTAGGGTAAATATCTCGTTACAACGACCCTGCGAGCCATTAGGGTTTCACCTCTCTTGTTCGTGATACAGTATATATATCTACATCTTCTAATTACCGGCACGTTAATATTGGACAATGTCTCAATCGTTGGTTGTAAACAAAAGCCATATCAAGAACACTTTGGCAAAGGCACAGAAAATGTCCATTGCATGTCGATAGCTCACCGTGTGGGTGGATTACGTTATTGAAACCACACGTATTACATTTTGCCACCATTTAGTACTGCACATTGTAGTCTAGGTTCGAACCCATAGAAAAGTTTAGCGCTTTAATATTTTTTTAAAGCGTTTAAGGCAGGCCAACGGTGTTGTGACATATGTTAGAGGTTTTCCGCTTAATTGTTTATATGCGAAAGCCGGCGCTCTGGGAACTTCTCAGTAGTTGACGCTATTAATTTGTGCTACGATACTCAATCTAGCTGCCAACGGCTCTTTTGAGAGAATCGATGGTGATATCACCCTCCAGAACAAATCCAAATTACACGGACTTCAATCTAAAAAATGAGCAGACTCAAAACCATTGCCCTATTCTGCTTTCCTCGAGCATAAAACGTAATATATTCAAACGGGACGCAATTGAAGTTGCGTTCTGTTTTTTGTAGCTGTGAGATGCTTTATCGCCGAGTAAAGCTTTTCAGGAATTTGAGATATCTTGCAATATCGACCGTTTCTTGTCGCAATGTCTCGTAATAAAAAATACTATTTATATCCACTGCAACTTCAGCTTATGTCCATATCTCATAGTAAGTCGACAGGGAACTTTGCCCTTGCTTTTCTTTTTTGTCTGTACCTTTGTCGCTTTAAAGTCCAGACACTTTTTCTGTAATCTTCATCCTCACTATTTCCGCCTAAAAAATTCTTTGACCAAAAGTCTCGTCGCTCAGTATTTTCTCTAGCCCTCGATGGATTCCAGCAATGGTAGAATCTTAATCACTATGCATTAATTTTCAGCACTAAACAATATTTTTGCCTCTTAAGTTATTAATCTCTCATAACACCTAATAAGCTCGCTGTCGTAGATCGCACGATGTAAATATTTACTAATTTTTGCTTCCTGATTATAGATAGTATTAAAGCTCTTCCAAGCTGACAAGCGCATACATATCTTTGAAAGGGTCATCTTAAACGTCGCAGGGAGCTCTTATTCCTGTGACTAGACACCAGATTATAAATCCAGCTTGGAAACCTGTCGACAATTGCTAATTTCGTGTCGGCTTTATGATCATGAGACTTTACGACTGTGTAATTAAGCAGAGTGATACAGGGCCTATTTTTATACAAGTTAATTCAACAACTTATATTTACCACATAGAAGCTTTGAACTCGTGAAGTCAACGCGTTACTTCCTTTAAAATATCTCCCGAAAGACGTTTTACAAAACATCCTGGATAATTCTCTTATATTATTTTGAAATTTCAGTATATGTGTAAACATTCACGAGTATGACCAGCGCTGTTATCTAGTGCTCAAACCCGCAGTGCCATTTAGTTTCAATGCGTTCATTTCATTATAATCTTAACATTTAAAAGTGTGGTGCGATTTATTTGATTAGCCTTCACTCTTCTTGAAAAATTAACTTCACTGCAGACCAGTCGCGATAGGCTCGTTGAACATTCACGTTAAGCGAAGCTTCCATGAAAGTGATGCGCTTTTTTGTATAAACCGGATTAAGCTATCCTGCATCTTGGCACCTGTAAGTGTTGGCACTTGCCGTTCGTGTTTTTCAGGTACGAGTATGCGATAATAACAGGAGAAACTGCCGGATATAGACACTATTAAATACAAACAACTGCTTTAGCAAAGTTCGTAAATATTTAATAGAGGGCCGAGTTCAAAGCGACACTTTATTCGATCAATAAGATTGTTTCTGACAACTATTACAAATATATTGCATCTGTACTTGCCTTTTCTCTTATCTATTCGACTTATGTTTCTTCAGATATTATTACCGCTATTTGTCCATTATAAGAAATGAAGCCAATTTGCCGTGTGTTGTAAATCTCAGGCATTGAATTCTTTACGGTTAATAGCTACACGTCCGTTTCAAACTGTTACCACTAAGGTTACATTTGTTCCTTATTTTTTACTTCAAAACTGTTGGGATAAGCACTGTTACCTTCAATGTCATATGCCACACACACATATCGTAGGTTACATGTAGCTAGCTATCTTTCGCAGAATATATGTATATACTTGACCGCCGTCTCCACCTGGCTGCATCTTCATCAAATTTCCATTACGCTGCCCCTAGACGTAACAGTCCAATGGTCTTGATATTTTTCTCCTCCCATCACGGTATGCTTACCCTTGCCCGTTATGCACCTCTAGCAACCTCTCGGCCGCGCTACTCTGGTATCAGCATTATTATTGGGAGAGACATACTGAATAGACTACCTGAAGACGCCCTTTTCTTGTACCGTTTCTTGAAACAATGAATAAGGAAACGTCAATAAAAATATTTCTATTTTTGGTTTTTGTCATGCAACTATAAGCGAGGACACCGGACAAGAAATTCGTAACGCTTCCACTATGCCGATGGGTGTGCTCGGTGGAAAATTACGAAAACGATTTCGTTGTGAGGATTTTTCTTATGCAAGCAACGTGTCTATCGATGTGAATGTACTGGACGTTATTTTAAAGTAAGGCAATGCGAATCCCTTCGTAACGAAGATTCGATGATCATTTTCATTGGAAGATCTTAGCTCACAGATTATTCTACGTACACCACATCGCGGTGCCATTGTTTTTAAACCGTCGGTAACGAAGGCGTTATACAGCTCGGAGGACTATGTGCAATACGTTGCTAACCAGTACTATAATTGTTGCCTTCTTAGTAGCTGTAACTGAAGCACAGGATTTTGCAGGCTCGGACTTCGTATGGAAAGACAGCCTAAAAGAATTGCTCACGGTATACAATCACAGTGCGGACGAAGATATCGATCACGCAATTGATGAACACTGGGAAAGTGTGAAGCTTTTTGCATCCACTGTTAGGCCAAACTTAACGGCGGAACAGCTAGAGGAAGGTATTTTTCTTGAGCGTACCATTGAAAGTAGAGTAGCAATAAGTACAGAGTTGGACACGTGCATCTCGAGTCAATTGGCAGCTAAGCCAATAGCCGCCATATCCGTTCACGACAAAATCAAAAAGAAGATTCTCAATAATAGACGCTTCAGTCAAATAGAAATTTTGCGGTTTTGCCCAAATACGCGGGCAAACTGCACAAACATCGCTGCTATAGGAAATCAGGTAAATTTTTATACTGCCACCCCTTGATGGGCGATTTTGCAGAATCACGATATATACCCGTCAAAACTCACATCTATAAGCAAAATAGCTTTGAGTACTGGCCATAGATGTATCTCCAGGTGCTATAGAACGTTTGGGCTCCCTGATTTCAGAAGACCCTCAAAATTCAATGATCTGCATGACCACGCTGAAAATAACTCGCAAGATGTCCAGTTCCAACCTCATAGAACTTTAGGATTAACTTGTTAACCAATATTGTTCATTTCGCAACTTGTAGCCTGAACAATATAGACAATACCTTCAATCAGGTTACAAATTTGACCAACAAGCGTACAACAAACATACCCCTACAAATTGATATTTATTCAATTCTGTCAGACAGGAAATGATCCCACACGAATGCGTGAATAGTAAAAAGTGCACTGTAGCTTCATCAATTTCGATAGTTAAACCACTCTTTAAAAATATATTTCCTGTGTAATGAGTTCTAATTTACGACTGGAAACGAAAGTAAGCGTAGAAGGAAAAATGTTCAAGCTGCTGGCACAATCTATTCGTACAAAGCTAAGCTGGATTGCGAGTTTGAGCATGGGCAACATCAAATCCCCTCTTAATTTTACAGTCTTCTTTCTATCATTACTCTATCAGGAAATTCCTTTAGTAAGGTAACTTATACGTGTTTGAGCCGATATGCATATAGTATTGCAGAGTTGCTGCTGCTAAACATGTCAAACACGGATTACGGACTAACTTCTGATACAGACACAAAGACCCTATTTGAACTCATATGCGTTCTCATATCACCTTTACGTCACAACAGTCTTTTCCTGCAATCCTAACCCTGTCTAATTTCAATCTATGATAGAATTATACCAATACATTCTAAAGATACGCGCAGACATGTTTTTTTTTTTGTGAGCTAATTCTCTACTAGGATGATAGTTACAAGTAGTTTTCCACAAACTATAAGGATTTCCATATTAAGCTTTTATGGGCGTATATTACGGTTTGGCCTTGCTATATAATTTCCTCGCAATTTTGACGACTGCGCATTCATTAGACGATCCTGTTCAGAAATATTTTTTGCTCTCTAACATGTAAGCATGAAAAAAACCTTACACGGAATACGTTACTTGCTAAACCTTTTCATACCAGATGAAAGGAAATTAAATGATATGTCACCAATTGTCCAAATCGCCATTGAAAGCTGAAATGCCCTCTATCACAGACGATCTGGACTAACCTTCAATATTTAAATGATTGAGGGCGAATATTTAATAAAGTTAAATTTTCTTTTTGTTATAAGCCACCTTAGTCAAGCCAACAATCAGAATTCTCAAATGCAGGAGACGCAATCGCTTGTGAAGTCTACGAGTAAATCCGATTACAATACCGTACTAACATGTTTCAGACGACTTGGATCCTTTCTCCTAGTTAGTTACAGCATGCTAAAGCAGCAGTATAATGGCCTGTTGTGGAAACAGACATCTGAGACTTTGCTAGGGAAAAGTTGTTGTCAAGTTTTAACTTCGTTCCGTAAGCTAAGATGTTATCCGTAAATACATTAACGAAGATGCACACCGTAATAATTGAAAATAATTGATAGAGCTGATTCGACCAAGGTCAAATAAATATTTGAAGTAAAATACTAACGAGGTATTTATTTTTTACAACATAGTTGTTTACTTTGACACGACAAGGCCTGATAAGCTTCGAAGCTCGCAAGCCATATTTATCGAAGCACAGCTCTATGGCTTGAAAACACTTGCGTCGTTCTTTAAACTACGATACAACCTATACTAGTAGCTCGGCTGGAAAGTAATTTGCAATTCCCGGAACCGGAATGATACAACGCATAATCCATTGACACTGTACGAACAATCCAAATCAGGGCGATAATAACGCAAATAATAGCGAACAATCAGTTTGAGTTTTCACTCTTAGAATGCTTTTAATGAAGCAACACAACAATTATAACACTCTGATGCGGATTTAACAAACCCGTAAAACTTCCTTCAACTATAAGGTAAAACCTTGTTTGAGTATAGTTGAAGGTGAAACCGTTTCGACAACAGGTCCTATTCAGAAACCTTACTTGCATAATAACATTTTGCCGATGTTTAAAAATTTACATAAACGCAGTCAAATATTTCTTGAATTTATTTATCAACCAACATGCAACTTTCTGAAATAATAGCGAACGCTCTTCGGAAAAGAAAAATGCGTATTTAAATCGTATTAATGGACAGTAATGTCGTATTAAATACTTCATTTTCTATATATATACATATATTTGCTTTTGATTACCACCTTATGCTTTAGGCATCGCAGACAGTAACATAAGTGCGTTTTCCTTTATATCCAGGTAGCAGTCTGCACGCAGTCGTTGGCTGGAAGAAAACTCATAGCTTTGAATCCTGTCACCAAGAAAGTAGAAGTAGATATTTTCTGGCTACCTTCAGGATGTTCGTGTGTGGTCAAGTCCCCAATATGAGCTTGTAAAAAAACAAATAAATCCGTATGCTGTAGTTCTTTTCATATTCATTGGGAAAGCTCTTTATTGCAAGAAATAGTTATTATAGTTTTATTGTAAATAGCTAAAATATTTAAATTATTATTATTATCATAAAGGCCGGCTACCATTACAGGATGTCTCGTTGTAGGCGTCTTTAATACCTCAAATAATATCTTCGGTTCTGGTTCACGTTTTTTGAAAATTACAATGAGTCGTACCTCTAAGTCATTAATGTAAATTCGAATAGTAAAAGCAAACGTAAAACTTCCATCTTCCTTCAACGTTGAGACGACATAAAATAGGAACATGTAAATGACGCACAGATCTATCTTAATAACATTTGGTTGCAGTTGAGCAAAGATTTTATAAGGCACTTTTTTCCATTCATATACCAGTGTATATGAGCCTTATTTCATAGATATATTTGTATATGATTATGTTGTGTTCAGCTGCGCAGTTGCCGCATGACGAGCGTCTTCTTCATGGGGTCGCCTTCTCTCGATAAATGCGTTAAGTCGCTGCCCGTTTTTCGCGGGTAAATTTCAACTTTAGCAGCCGAGGCGGCCACTCCGCAGACGAAACATTTTAAGTCTGTGCGCTAACAATCTAATAGCATTGAGCGTGCGAATGAAAATTCACGGTGACTCCTGTGAAACAGGAACGAGAAAACCAGCATAGTCAAGAGAGGTAAAGGCAACTCGACCCATAGGCACGATAAAAAGATTGACTGTAAACGTCGTTTGTAGCAAAAACCTGTGCTTTAAAGAGGGACATACCTCTTACATTCTATGGAGGCCATACACATTCTCACTGCAAAGCGTTATTCTCTTTCGCCTATTCTCTGCGGCTCTCTGTAGCAACATCGTGTCGTAGACGCAGCTGCATATCATGCTAATTGCATGATTAGTGCTATGCTTCTCCGAAAGTTGAACATATTTTATGTATTACTTATCTATTGACGGTTACGCTCGATTTCCTATCATTCTTATTCGCTACACTGAAGGGCCATCGTTCAAATACAGCGATGTTACATTCGGCAACAGTTTGTAGTTCCCGCCGTTTTAGCAGACGGTGGGAACTATGAACTCGAATTCGAGCAATCAACTGACACCTTCTGCGCCACGTTTTTCCATTGCCTATTGAGTATTCCGTTATTTTGGATGTTGCTGCTACTGTCATTCGCCCGCTCTTTCTGGTTGCTAATTCGCTCTCCTTCCTCGTAAGTTTCATATGAAGGCAATGATGCATCCCCCCACACTGGCGCTGCTGTTGCTGCTTATCACCTCATTCTGAGATACACCTGTATCTGTTTGTTTACTTCCTATGTTTCCGCTGCCGCTGACTCTACTGTTGTTATAGTCAGCTGCAGCAAATTTTGTCTGCTGTCGCCTCTTCACTGACAGATGGCCGGCGACGACGAGGATATGATATCGTAATGCTGAGGTGGGGTTTCACTCTTGTTCTCTGCTTCCATTGCCCACCCATCGTCTGCTGCGTACTGTCTATTGCTTTCGTCTGCTTAGTGTCGCGGATGCTACGTTCCATAAGTGCTGCTGCTGCGGTCGTCGTCATCGTGGCCGTGTATTATTAAAAAATCAGATGACGAAAACAACTTTCTTCGATTTTTTCTTCTACTGCGCCGCTGTTGCTGCTAGCGCTGCCCATCCCTTCGTGCATTCACCCAAGAACCAATGGTCCCGTTCACAGTGGGCGGCTGCCGCCGACTGACTACTTAAGCAGTTGGTGATGCACAAGCTGATGTTAGTTCGTACCGCCGCATTTGCCTTTTGTGCTTCTGGCCTATGGGCTCGTGGAAGTGTTAGGAGAAATTGTTTGTCGTAATTTGATCACAGCGCCCTGTTTTTCCCGACCCAGTGTTATAAGTTAAGCTGGCCCAGCGCTATATGTACGTGATTATGTTCGTTTCGTCTCGAACAGCTGCCACAGTTTGCAGCTGATCCCCACTGCCTGCGACTGTATTGCCGAGGGTGTCAATGTCTGCAGTGTGTTTAATGTTCACGAACGGCGGCGACGACGACGACGACGATAAGCAACATTTACAATATTGGCAACTAAACGGAACAACGGCAATCGTGTGCGGCCGTAACAATTACTGTAGTAAAACTTATCCAATGCGGGGTGTCCAACGACAATTATCTTGTCGTTGCTGCTGCTGCTTCTTTTCTTGCAGCTGCTGTACCGTTAACTGGTCCCTTTGATCTTTTCGTTCTATCTAAAGCATTTAGTGGATAGTATCATACAAGAGCTAGCTTGTGCATTCTGAATGGTGGCCTCGACGTAGTTCTTTGCGGTGAGTCTTTGCGCGGCGTAAAATTCAGCCTGCCAGTGCCGAATATTCAAAGGGTGGTTGCTAGTGCGTGTCCCGTCGTAAGACAAGCAACATGATCTAGCGCGAGTGTAATACAGAGGAGGCGACGTGAGAGTGGGTGGTCTTTGGTGTCGCATGGTGAAGGCTGGCTACACTCGTAGTGCTGGTTGTGGGGGACTCGCGCGGTGGGGATTGCGAGACTGCAATAAACGAATGAGCGAAAAAAAAGCGCTGAATGAAAGGATAACAACAAAACGAGAGCAAAAGGACAGTGAACAGGAAACGGCTACTAGTGCGAACGGCTAAAACAAACGAGGACGACAGCTTGGTGATAACACTGTGACGAAAATGTTGGTTCCAATGCTGATGCTAGCTGCGATTGGCAAGAGCAATACTGGCTAGCTACTGTGCCCTTAACGCCAAGGTTTGTACATACGTGCGTCGCATGTTGATGGACCTACGACAGCTAACTCAGCTAATTGGCATAATGTAACATACCTACTGTATTTTAGAAGTTACCTATTTATACATATA